TGGTTTTAAAAGGATGTTTTAACAACAGGACCATTTCAGGAGGAATTTTAAGACAGTAATTGTTTAAAGGTTGCTATGTTAATGATTTAAAAACAAACAAATAAAGCAGCCAGCTTTCCATCACCTCAGCGACAGCATCTTACTTCGACACTTAAGCAAACGTTCTCCACACTTGCTGACTAGGGCGCATGTGCCTCTGGAACTGGAGGGGTTGGCTCTGTTCTATAATATCATACTACAATGAAACATGTAGACATTTTATAGGAGGAAAAGAAGAAGAAGAAGAAAAAAAGAGTTCCAGAGGGTTTTTATTTTATTTTTTAACATTATTCCAAGCTTACAGCAGATATTTCCTACTGGAAAAATCTACTTCTCCTCTATTTTTCATAGACGTACTGTTTCAGCATTCTTAAAGTAATTCAAGGCTTTGACATTAATTAGTTATCTCCGCTACTGAAAGGCAGGAAAAATCAATTTACCTGAATGCCATCAAGTAACTTGCTCATGCACCAAAAACTGTCAGCTTCTATGTTCTGCAGCACTTCTTCAGGCAGACTGGAAACATCAAAATTTTCCACTTCTTCTTCTTCTATTTCAGAAAAAGTGAGAGAAAAACAAGCCAATGAAGAGCACAGAGCAACGTAAAGGTGAGGAAAATAACAGAAAATAAAGACAACTGTCAATTATCTTCTAGTCGGAAACTTTAACACATTTCCTTTAAGAGGAACTAAAGGAATCATTTATTGCTCAACTGTGTCATCTATCGGCTTTAAATGTTAATGAATACTTAATTTGTTGCAGACTGAAAATCTCAAACCATGCCTGGTTAATGAGAATTAATATATAATAAATTACTTCCTTCTAGACATTTCACACCTGAAAGAGGATTATCAGAGGCACTACGTGAGACCTCAAGCTCCATATGAAGAACTCTGCAGAACATATCTACGTTTGCATTATACACAGTAAAGTTCTGACAGCTCTTGCGGAAGAATGTAGGCAATGGAGATAACGAGAAATGACTGAAGTGAAAGCGATCATCAGCAAGAAAGATATACTGGCCTTTTCCAGCGACTTTCTCAGAGAGAGATTGAAAATGACTAGATTTACCATAAAATACTAAGAATTTTTTTTTAAAAGTCAGTTTAAGCAGACAAGAGGTTTCATATGAACCTTTATAACATTATCAATTTTACTCCAATTAGATCTGCCCTGTAACTCCAAAAAAAAAAAAAAAAAACCACATACCA